TTCTCTTCTCTATTTGTGGGATACAGGCTCCAGGGCATGTGGGCTCTCTAGTTTACAGCACGCAGGCTCTAGTTGAGGTGCATGAGCTCAGTAGTTGTGGTGAACGGGTTTAGTTGCCCTGTGGCATGTGGGATCTTAGTTCCCTGACCAGGGATCTAACCCTGTGTCCCCTGCATTGCAAGGCAGATTCTTTACAACTGGACCACCAGGGAAGTCCCAAGAGTTGATTTTTAACAGTTGGGTCTGGAAGAGGAAGCCAATCTCACTATAAATGCTGCTTAATGGATGCCATGTTATTCATCAAAAATGCTATATGTGCTTCCTGAAGGATGCTTCTTGGAGAATGTCAGTACAGGTTCTGCAAACAGAAGATGTCAAATAAGATTGGGAAACGTTGTATATATTAAACAAAACTAAGTGGGCTTCTTTCCTGTAGGCCTTCTTCGAGCCTTTATACACGTGATGCGCTTTGTGAATGTTCAAGAGGGATATTTTAGAATGTCGCATTTTCCAAATCTGCTTGATTACACAACCTTAAACAACAATGAACACTACATTTTTTTCTTTAAGAAACATCTTAGGAATAGTTGTTACATTGGGAAATAGCACTTAATACTTAGATTTTGATTTTGTTAATCTTCGTTATTCATTTTTTTTTTTTTTTTTTTTAAACGCGGGCCTCTCACTGTTGTGGCCTCTCTCGTTGCAGAGCACAGGCTCCGGACGCGCAGGCTCAGTGGCCATGGCTCACGGGCCCAGCTGCTCTGCGGCATGTGGGATCTTCCCAGACCGGGGCACGAACCCGCGTCCCCTGCATTGGCAGGCGGACTCTCAACCACTGTGCCACCAGGGAAGCCCCGTTGTTTATTTTGATCAGTCAGTATCCTTGATTCATTTCTGAGATGGCTGTAGTCTGTCTCTGTCTGCTCTTCCTCCTCGGTGATGTGCTGTAGCTCACTCATTTGTTTCATGGTTGGGACCTTCCCAAGGTGATCCAAATTACACTGTATTTCTTGGGTGAAGAAGAGAATCTATATAATTAATGTAAAATCTCAGGGATTGATTGGATGGAAACTGGAGGTTGAAGCTTCATTTGGTTCCACTTTTCCCAAAGCTTTAAAAGCTTTGCTGTTTGAGGGAAATGAAATAGACTTAATGGGTAGATAGTTGAGGAATTGTGAGTTTAATGTGGAGAAGATCGCATCACCGTGGGTTGGAAGATACGGGTTCTACCTCTGTCTTCCCTAAAGTCACTTAGCTTCCCTGTGCTTTATTTTTATCATCTATAAAATTCAGGGACTGAGTTTAGATCCAACCATTTTAAGACTCTTGAGTTATTATTAATATTCTTTTTTAAAAATTAATTATTTTTTAAATTATTTATTTTTGGCTGTGTTGGGTCTTTGTTGCCACACGCAGGCTGGGGCTTTCTCTAGTTGCAGTGAGAGGGGGCTATTCTTCATTTGCAGTGTGTGGGCTTCTCATTGTTGTGTAGCACGCACTCTAGGCACGTGGGCTTTAGTAGTTGTGGCACGTGGGCTCAGTAGTTGTGGCTCATGTGCTTAGTTGCTCTGTGGCATGTGGGATCTTCCCGGACCAGGGCTCAAACCTGTGTCCCCTGCATCGGCAGGCGGATTCTTAACCACTGCGCCACCAGGGAAGTCCCTTATTAATATTAAGTGGAATAGTGAAGACTGTGGGCCTTGGTAGAACATTTTGTTCTTCTCTGCAAGTTTCCACATAACCTGTCACCGGCTCTTTTGGAGAATGAAATTATTCAATAATTAACTCATCTTCAACTCCACGTATTTGAAAACTTGTAGTTGATTGATTGATTTGTTAATTACTCTCCAGGAAAGCACTTGATTATAACACTGGTCAGTTAATCCAGTGCTATGGAAAAATCCACACCTCCTGTAAAAACGCCCCTCTGCATTCATTTCGTCGATACAGAGAGAAATCTGTGATGTGGATATTAATTCTCTCTGCCCACAACACACAGTGTTCATTTGGCGGTTTGCTGTGCTTTTTGTGCACTCTTTGCCTGTTAACAGATTTATGCACTCAGCACAGTAGAGGTCTGAATTCACTGAATTTATGCCATCTGGAAATGAGGTTTAAATTTTGTTCCTCTGTTGAATTTAGGGATGTGACATAGCCACTGCCCAGAAGGATTCTGAGGCTGGATTTGGTTTTGCTGTGTGGAGATAGCACGTTTTGTTAGAAGGAAAGCACTTGCCTGGGCAGAGATTTGAGTGTGACTGAATTGTTAACTGCCAACTTCCCCACATTTTAGCAGGAGACATACTTTGTTTTTAAATGAGGTGATAATGAGAGAATTACCAAGACCCAGTGAATTTTAAGAGAGTCCTTTCCCTTTACTTGAGTTTTGTTTAACCTTGCTTTTGATGTCATTCTGTGCATCACTGTCAAGGGACTCAGCCTCCTTTGAAGTCTCAAAGTGTGGCTGCTAGCGGAATCACGATGGTAAAATATGAGTGGTTCTCAGTAAAGCCCTGACTGATACACAGGGAGGCATTATTACCTAACTAAAAGCATACGTGTGTGAGTGCCTACAATGTAGTGGAAGGGGAGAATGTATGTTAATGGACACTGAAGTGGGAGCAGTATTTCTCATGAATTAGAGATGCCCTTTCGTAATTCAAGAGTCACAGAATGAGAAAAGGCTTGAAATCACCTGAAAAGCATCTGGAAGCAATCTGTAATTCTTAAGAGGCGGTAGGAGAGCCTGTCTCTCTCCAGGACACGATGATAAAACAGTTCATATGGTATTATGGAAGAAGTAGAATTCTCTTGCTTGTAAGCCATTTTAAAACGGCTTGCGAATAAATGCCCGGAGATTTGATTATGAATTATACTGCAAGGTCCCAGGTGCTTTATAATTTTTTTTTTTTTTTTTTTGCGGTATGCGGGCCTCTCACTGTTGTGGCCTCTCCCATTGCGGAGCACAGGCTCTGGACGCACAGGCTCAGCGGCCATGGCTCACAGGCCCAGCCGCTCCGCAGCATGTGGGATCTTCCCAGACCGGGGCACAAACCCGTGTCCCCTGCTTCGGCAGGCAGACTTTCAACCACTGCGCCACCAGGGAAGCCCCCAGGTGCTTTATAATTGAGTAGAGTGAAGAGGGTGGATTTGAAGGTACTGACAAAATTTTAATAAGAAGAATTTGTTTATTTGCTTGTCAAATGTTATCCTTTGCTTCTCATGCCCCATACGCACTCTTTGGTGCCCAGGCATTACAACTGTGCCTAGTTTTGAAGCTTTAGGTCAAGTTGAGGTCCCTTCCTCCATTTTTTTCCCTTTCACAAAACATTTGTTATAAGAAAAGGTATTGCATTCCAAGTCTTTGAGATATCTATAGGTCAAACACACACACACACACACACACACACACACACACACAACCTCTTACAGTGACTTATAGGGAACCATCCTTTAATATACAGGGCTGTTCCAGAAAAATTATTATGTTAGTGAGTGGTGCATCCTTGCTACGCAGAGATTTTGAAAAGACCTATTTGTTGTACTAGACCCTGACTTGAATTGCTCACCTTAACCCATCTAAAGTCGGGGAAATTTCACTTATAAATACTTCTAACTATATCAGAACAAGTTGCTTCTTGTTTCTTGCTTTGTGTAAGTGATCGTGATCATATGTAATTACAGCATTGTACTCTGTTTTTTCTTTCTTCTTTATGTGATAAGTGGCGTTTTCTCACTTTATTAAAACTCAAAATTTTCTGACAGCTAACAAAATCGTGGTTAACTAAATTATGTCTTTTTGTCACATTTACTTAACTCTTCTTCCCCAGTTATTGGGCATTTAAATGGTTCCCATGCTTTAACTAAGTATAGTATTTATTGTTTTCTTAAAAATTGTTTTTTCTTGGTCATTGTCTCTAGCTTGCACCTGTTCTGATCTAGAATAGCGGCTTCTCATGGGGTTTGTTCAGCATTTGCATTAGCTTCTGCCTTTCATGCTCTAACCGCTTGGGGTTAGTCTCTTTGCTGTCCTTTCCGGGACACCTCTTCTCTGCACTGTTTATCTTAGGTGGGATAATTTCCCAGCCTTCTTTAAGCTTATGTTTTTCTGCCTGTACAGTAGGGATTAAGCCATGCATTTGTATTGTGAAACTTATCTTCCCAGTTAGGCCTGATGATATGAAATGTGCGTCTAAGACCAAAGTAAACTTTACCCATGGGATGGCAGAAACTAAACTTTCAACTCTCAGTGTTTGGATAGGTCAGAGGTACCAGGGAATATTTGGGGAGTATCACACTTTTAAAAAAGTAGGTTACGAAAGTTATTTGTGATCCTCTCCTTGCTATTTTATATTTTGTTGTCCTTATACTATGATGCTGCTGATGCATGGATATGGATTTATTTAGTTTCACATTTTTTTCTCTTCTAAAAGAAGTATATAATTACTTACCATCTCTTGGAGGACAGAAGAATCCTTCTCTACTTTCTGCTACCCAGTAGGAGTCTTTCATTTCTGGCTAGCATTCAGAATTCTAAGTAAAGATTTGATTTTTGCATATAACTTAAAAAATATAAAAAATATATATTTATTTATTTATTGGTCTGGCTGTGCTGGGTCTCAGCTGTGGCACGCAGGATCTTCGTTGCCCCTTGCGGGATCCTCATTGTAGCATGCGGGATCTTTAGTTGTGGCATGCAGGCTCCTAGCTGGGGCACCCGGGATCCAGCTCCCCGACCAGGGGTCAAACCCTGCCACCTCCCCACTCCCCCACGCCCCCTGCCACTGGGAGTGCGGACCCTCAACCGCTGGACTACCAGGGAGGTCCCTTGTTTATAACTTTTTTTTAATAATAAGTGCAATCTGAGGAGAACCCACTCAGTGCACAACAAATGGTGGTAAATATGGGGGAGAAAAACTGGAGAAATTTAGATTGGGTTTTTTTTGTGGTGTATCAGTGATTCTGGGGCTTTTTTTTTTTTTAATTCCTTTCTGTAGATTTTGGAAGTCTTCTTCTGGGCGTTGCCAGCAGTGCCAAGTGTTGGAGAAATCTTTTCTACCCCTCTGATAGAGTGAAGTAAGCAAACGCAACCTAGCAGAAGGCTCGTGAAGAGAGCACTCACAGGTAATGTCATCTTTTCTTATTACTATTGAGATGTGTTCAGTAATGTTCAGTAATAAACTTAAAAAAAAGTAAGCCTACTTGAATTTACACATCCAAGTGTTGACAGAAGAAAAATGCACAACCTGGAAGTTTCGAGTTAAATTTTATTCGGGGACCTTACTGAGGACTATAGGCCAGGAGACAGCCTCTCAGATACCTCTGAGGAGCTGCTCCAGAGAGTTTAGGGAGGAGCCAGGATGCATAGGTGTATTGGGCTGGAACAAAAATGTAGTTGAACATCAAAAGATAACTGCTAATCACAAAAACAGACATTGCAAGTTAATGATTTTAATGCTTTTCTGTGTATGGGGAGATGTAAGAATCTGGGCTGAATAAAATTATTCCTTAGATATGCATCCTAACTATCTAGGGCCAGTATCCAAAGCACAAAATGCTTCCTGTTTTTCTCTATCCTGAATTCCCCTCAGGGCGTACCATCAGTGGTGGTGGGGTGGGATGCTGCAGCAGCTGATGGCTTGGTCCTTGTTTACTAGAATGGCAGCAACATTCTTTGTTTACTGGAATGGCAGGCAACATTGCCTGTCCACAGAGGTGAACATTATCTTGTTCAAAGCAGTGTTTCTGAGAGGCTACACTCTCTCCTCTTCTCAAAACATTTAAACATTTTTTCTTTGGGAACTGCATCTTGATCTTCTGGTAGCATTCTTTTAAACATCCTATTTTCTTTCTTTTTAAAAAAAAATAATAATTAATTTTTGGCTGTGTTGGGTCTTCGTTGCTGCACACGGGCTTTCTCTAGTTGCGGTGAGTGGGGACTACTCTTCGTTGTGGTGCACGGGCTTCTCATTGCGGTGGCTTCTCTTGTTGTGGAGCAGGGGCTCTAGGCACGCGGGCTCAGTAGTTGTGGCGCATGGGCTTAGTTGCCCCGCGGCATGTGGGATCTTCCCGGACCAGGGCTCGAACCCGTGTCTGCTGCATTGGCAGGCGGATTCTTAACCACTGTGCCACCAGGGAAGCCCCTATTTTCTTTCTTTTTAAACTACATTGGAGTATAGCCGATTAACAATATTGTGATAGTTTCAGGTGCACAGCAAAGCGACTTGGCCATACATAAACATGTATCTAAACATCCTATTTTCTGTGGTGGCAAATCTCAACCCTGTGAGGGTGTATTTGGGAAGTAATCTAAATGTCTTCAGAGCTACGGAATCTGGGGAGTTCTAATTTTGATCAGGAGCAATAACGTAATGAAACCAGTTTCTCTTTTTATAATTGTATATGTGTTTGAAGGCTTATACACTGTATTGAAAGTTAATTCTCGAAAGAGGTGACTCTAAGTTTCAAGCAATGGTAGTCTTGTTAAAATAAGTGATTAGACTTGTATTTTACAGAGAAGCATATGCTATTTATTTGTATATAAATGTTGGTATTCTTTCTTATTAAAATTGATCAATCAGTCTATCTGTTAGTATTGTAGAAAGGATTCCTGTGTTTATCAGGTTGAATAAGATGATATTTAACTTCCTCATAAGGTATACCTCTAAGGCACTGTAATTAGCATCTTATTAGAGGTGTGTTTTGCATTGTTTCTCAAAGCCTTGTTAGAGTGCTTGTTAAAAAGCACATTGAAAATACAAATTAGTAGGCCACCATCTAGTGTGTCAGAATCTGAATCAGAGTGCTAGGGGGAAGGGTTTGGGAATCTGCGTTTTACAAGTAAATACCACCCAAGATTGACACCCCCAATGCAATAAAAGCATAGTTGTACCTAATCTTTGTATTTTTGGTTTTAAAGGTGTTGTAATCACCTTAATTTTTGCTTTGAATAAAACAGTGCCAGTACTTTTAGTATACTGTTGTGACACAGGGTTACGTTCTCAAATAGCTTATTATTAGATGAAATTAAGAATGTAACTGAATAAAGCTATACTTTGAACTTTATGTCTAAATTCAAAATGGATATATTTTTCATTGGATGCAAATAGATAAATCTGTTTTTTAACCTCTAGATGCTGAATACTAAGTTTTTTGAAATGTCTTTATGAAATATCTTCTTAATTTGCCAGTAAGTCGTACGTCAGATATCTTATTCAGATGGAGGGTAAAGAGCAACGGGGTAGTGTCGTGGTCCGAACGCGAGTTGGAAAAGAATTTCCAGACACAAGGCAGAATGTAAAGAAGATAGAATTTATTAGAGAGAGGGGTCACTGCCAGAACAGCGGGCTGACTTCCTAGTAGTCTGGGAGAGTCGAGCCCAAACATGTGCTATTGATCAGTTTTTATAGGCAGAAAATAAAAGAACGGTCCAAGGTGAAAATTTCGTTTACTGATTGGTTGAGGCACATATACCTTCCTTCTATAGGGTGGGAGTGGGACAGGGCAGATGCCTTTCCTTATTTGGGACAGGTCCCGTCGCCCAGGTGGGCTCAGGAATTTCGTAACCACCGCAACTTGGTGGGGAGGGCGATTAAGAGTCCGGTAGGGGGTGTGACGTTGAAACTTTTTCAGGCAGAGTCGTCCTTTGTCCTTGAAGCACCATTGTCCTTGGAGCACCAAAGGTAGGTATTAGAGGCCCTGGAGTCTGTGCTATGCTACTCTAGCATCCAGTCAAGCATTTTTCAGTAAACATTGTGATGAAAGCTTTGCTGTGCAATTTATGGTTTAGACAGGTGAAATCCTTTCTTTATAGTGCTCTGAGATTTTATGAAGCTCTTTGAATACCCTACATGAAATGGAGTATTAACATCAAGTACTAGACTTTGATGCCATGTTATTTTCATTATCATGTGCATTCTTTAGTAACCCTTCCTATAAAGTTATTAATTTTACAGAATGTAAGCTTTGTGTATAAAATGTGTTATTTTTTAGATATTTTCAATTCTACAGATTATACCTTTACTTTCAAAGACATATATAATATTACAGCATTCTGTGCATGTTAATATTAAGAGATAATACACTTTATGTAAGATAAAAATGTGACTATAGATTTATAAGTTAAGTCTATTACAAGAAAATATTTCATTGTTTGTACTTAAAAAATTGTGTTAAAATACACAACACAAAAATTTACCATTTTAACCATTTTTAAGTGTATAGTTCCAGTATTGTTAAGTATATTCACATTATTGTGCAACCAATTTCCAGAATGTTTTCATCTTGCAAAACTGAAATTCTCTACCTATTAAACAACTCCCCATTCTTCCCTCCCCCAGTGCCTGGCAACCACCATTCTACTTTCTGTCTCTATGAATTTAACTCTTCTAGATACCTCATGGAAGTGGATTCATACAGTGTTTGTCTTCCTGTGACAGGCTTATTTCACTTAGAGTAATGTCCTCAGGGTTCATCCATGTTGTAGAATGTGTTAGAATTTCCTTCCTTTTTAAGGCTGAATAATATTCCATTATACCCACACGCATGCACACACATACACACACACATAAATACACATACACACCACATTTCGTGCATCCATTCATTCATTGATGGACATTTGGGTTGCTTCAACCTTTTGGCTATTATGAATAATGCTACTTGTACATGGGTATATAAATATTTGTTTGAATTCCTGCTTTCAGCTATTTTGGGTATATATCTAGAAGTAGAATAGCTGGATCATATGGTAATTCTATTTTTAATTTTTTGAAGAACCACCATAATGTTTTCCACAGCAGCTACACCATTTTGTATTCCTACCAATAGTACACAAGCATTCCAGTTTCTCCATATCCTCACCAACACTGTTTTTTGTTTTGTTTTGTTTTTTGATAGTAGCCATCCTGATATCTCATGGTTTTGATTTGCATTTCCGTAATGATTAGTAATGTTAAACATCTTTTCATATGCTTGTTAGCATATCTTCTTTGGAAAAATGTTTAGTCAGTGTCCTTTGCCCATGTTCTAATTGGGTCATTTGTCTTTTTGTTGTTGAGTTGTAGGAGTTCTTTACATATTCTGGATATTAACCCTTTATCAGATATATGGTTTACAAATATTTCCTCCCATTCTGTAGGCTGCCCTTTTACTCTGTTAATTATGTCCTTTGATGCACAGAAGTTTTAAATTTTGATGTAGTCCAATTTGTCTGTTTTCACTTTTGTTGTCTATGCTTTTGGTGTCTTATGCAGGAAATCATTACCAAGTCTAGTATCATGAAGCATTTCCCCTATGTTTCTTCTAAGAGTTTCATAGTTTTAAGTCTTATTTTAGGTCTTTGATTCATTTTGAGTTACTTTTTTTATATGGTGTAGAGTAAAGGTCCAAATTCATTCCTTTGCATGTGCATATCTGGTTTTCCCAACACTACTTATTGCAGTGAAGTTTGTATTTTTAAAGACAGTTTAGGATAAGGAAAGGACAAACAGACAGTCATAATGTCACTGTTGGATCTATATAGCAGTTCCCATAAAGTCTCTTGCTTCTAATTAAGAATATATTTCAGAAACAAAACAGTATTGCATAGATTTGAAGCTCACCTTAGACTGAGATTTAATAATTGTAGGTAAGCATAGAGCCTGTGTTTAAGTTTTATGTTAGTTATTTGGTGGGCAATGACTTATTATATTTGGAATTTGATGATGGTAAACTCTGAGTTTTGGTCTTCAGGTAGGGGTGTGTGTGTGTGTGTCTGTCTGTCTGTTTGTGTCTGTGTCCTTTTATAGGGCTTGGCCAATGAGAGATCCTCTAATGTCTTAGGAAGCTTTAGTTTCAAGGCCAGAAGCAGAATCGACATTCTTATGATGAAGAATAGCCTGTAATGAATCCTGGGAAAAACCTAAGCCAGCTTGAACCATTCACCTGTCTGGGTAGCAGAAGTTACTTAGATCCTGTTTTTGCCTCTTAGCTCTAAATAGCAGTGTATGTGTTGACAGAATGATATTTACACTGGCTTTGAAAAGGTCAAAAACCAGATATTGTGCCTTTGGAAGTCAGGTTATTTTGGGGAAGACAGGAGGGTGTTGGGAGTTGGGTGGGGAGAGTACAAAAGCAAATATATG